TCATCCTCCCAGACAACTGACGAGCTCGCAGGCGGGACACCCAACTCCCAGCCGCCCCCTACCGGACACTTTTTCAGAAAAGCTTCGAGTGTTGCGTTTAAGGTCACAACGTCCCGGTCGCTCATGTGCGCCTCCAAAGGGTTGTTTACTGCCGGCCAGATGTATGCCTCATTTTCTTGTGGGACATCCGGCGTCATGGTGGATTCCGATGATCCGGCTTCTTGATCGGTTTCTTCACCGCTTGAGCTCCCGGACTCTTCTAAAATCTCGTCACCAGGCGTACTTGGAACGCCTGGTTGATCAAAGGGAATGTCTTCAACCGGTGTTCCGGCTGAATCATCTGATTTGTACTCGGGGTCAAAAGCCGTTTTCCTTGTCCGAGCCATTCTGTCCCGCACATGAACAGAGACGGTCGGATTCTAAAAAATGTAAGGGTGTTCCATGCACCCCCAAACGGCATCCCCAGTCTTAGATTCAGCCGTATCCGGTGAACGGTTGACAACTGCCCTAGGCCGTGCCGTGTGTGTATTGGGAGAGTCCATTATTCTCTAACCTATACAACCGGTAAACTCAAGAGGTTACAAAAGGAGCAAGGATGATACCTTGTATTTATGAAGGCGGTTGCAAAAGACTTGGAATTCAAAGATGTGGCTTGAAGATGCCACAGGCGGAGACGACCGTTTATGTTGAAAGCCTGAAACACAAATGCAAAACAGTCAAGCATTTTTGAAGAAATTCACACAAAGATGCCCCAAGCGGTATCAATAAAGTGTGTTCAAAGATGCCCCAAGCGGTATCATGCGGTTTTACCCAAAGATACCCCAAGCGGTATCATAATAGCTTGCTCAGAGATACCCTAGGCGGTATCAAGGAGTCTTGCTCAAAGATACCATAAACGGTATCACAACGTTTTGTTCAAATACACCCCATGCGGGATCAATAAAGCTCACTCAAAAATACCCCAGACGGGACATCTCCGTCTGAGGCTCCATTGAATGGTTATCACAAACCAAGGATGCCTCAAACGTTAAATATTGAAGATTGCTTAAAGACCCCCCAGACGGCATGAGAGCCGACTGAGGGTGTTTGAAGGGCAGGTCATAAACAAGCTATGAAGATCATTGTTCAAGCGCCCCCCAGGCGGTATAAGCCCGGCCAAGGGTGCGAAATATCTAAGTCTTAAAACATAGCTTGTATATACCCCAGACGGTCCATTATCGTCTGTGGGTCTAGTTTTGAGGGGCTATTATTTGAAGACACCCGAGACGGTCCAGAACCGTCTATGGGTCTGATTTTGAAGAATCTTGTTTGAAGACCCCCCAGGCGGCTCCTTGCCGTCTGAGGGTCTATGAATTGAATTCTTTGATAGGAAGTTGTTTGAAGGTGGTCCAGGAGGAATATTTCCGGTTGAGGATCTACTGGACGCAAAATGTTAGCCTGAAGATACCCCAGACGGCATGTATCCGTCTATGGGTCCTTTGAATGCAAATTCTTGAAACCCATTGATTGCAGATATCACAGGCGGTATATCACCGCCTGTGGTCCTATGGAATGCATTATGAAGGCCAAGGTTTGAAGGTACCCCAGACGGTCCACACCGTCTGTGGGTCTATCATTTGAAAAGCAAAGTTTAAAGATGCCCCATCCAGCATATAACCGGTTGTAGGTCTTTTAAATGTAGCTACATGAAGACCAGTGTAAAGGTGCACAGGCGGTATTCACCGTCTATGGGGTTATGATATGCATTCAGAAGTATAGACCATTGTTTAAGGATACCCCAGACGGTTCGCCATCGTCTGAGGGTCTATCTTTGAGGATCATGATTTAAAAATTCCCCAGACGGTCTATACCGTCTGTGGGTCTACCAAATGCAAAACATAAAAAGGGCTTATGGAGTCCCAGACGGTGTATGACCGTCTGTGGTTCTACTCAAGTTAAGGAAGAGAATCAAGTCAGACGGTACCTGGGGGAATTAAGAGAAGAAGTCCTCAACCGGTATCCGTATGCGTTTCAATGAAGCAACTGGTTGCACAAACTAGCAGCCGGTGTCAGAGCTCTCAAGAAAATTCTGAAAAAAATTGTAAAGTGAAGAGGAGAGAGGGTGTGCGCCTCAATTTATAGGCAAAGACCAGAAGGCAAATCGCCACCTTCTGCCCTGAACCTTTTGAATTTCGAATCCAGGAGAGAGAGGCGGGAAGCAACTCAATCGTCGCCTCCTCATTGCTTGACACTTGTCACAGGTGACACGTGGCTATGCCATGTCACACCTGTGAGGGACAAATGTTTAGGGTAAAAATACCCTATGCCACGTGGCCCAGTAGAATCGTGACACATGGCAGCCCACCAACGGCCTAACGGGATCCAATCGGATGCTGCCACGTGGAATTAAAACCCTAATCAGGGAGCATGTTTCCCCCACTATAAATAGGGGAATCCCCCTCATTTATTGGGCATTCATAAATTCAAAAAAATTCATACACGAAACCCGAGCAATATGAATTACGGAATCTCTCTGAATCAGTGAGAAAAACCTATTTACCTTCCGCACATTTACCCATTCGTAAATCATACTAACTTGATCGTCGGAGGCGGAACTCCACCCAACCGGAGTTTCGTGGTTTTGCAGGTACAGAAGTCAGGCGCACATACTCCGTATTGTAACTCTCCCGAGGGACTAAAATCACCCGAAACAGATATGTTTTTTATTTTTTGATATGTTCCTTTTGTTGGCTGCTATCAGACATCACTTGACTGATATATTTCTTTGGTTAGCTGATATCTTTATTTGTTGGCTGATATGTATATTTTAATTGTTAGCTTATATGTTTCATTATGTTGGCTGATGTGTTTATTTTGTTGACTTACTTGTTGCTTTTGTTTGCCGATTTCATCCTTTTGTTGGCTGATATGCTTCATTTGTTGGCGGATATGTTCCTTCTGTTGGCAGATATGTATCTTTTGTTGGATGATATGTTTCTTTATTGACTGATATGTTTCATTTGTTGGTTGATAAATTACTTGTGTTGACTGATACATTTTTATTAGTGTCTGATATGTCCCTAATGTTGACTGATATCAAACATCAATTGGTTGTTATGTTCATTTTAATGGCTGATATGTGTCATTTGTTGGCTAATTTGATTAACAACATACAATATATTATTATTTCCTTCTCTCTCCTCTTGGCTGATATGCTTATTAACAACAAAAATACCAATCCTACGTTCTCCAAACACACAAAAACCCCACCAAACAAATGATGTTCTCTCTCCTCCCCTTCAATGGCAGGTTCACCATCTCACCAATCCCCGTCATCTCCTTCACCACTTTCTCTCTCCTCCCCTTCAATGGCAGGTTCACCAAAACCCCACTCACCAATCTTCACGCCACACCACCCCACTAATCCCACCGTCCACTAAACCCACCACACCCACCAACCACCGCAACACCAGCCGAATCCAAGCGAACTGAAATCGCATATCGTCCATCGTCATCTTCGTTCACCGTTCCATCGCAAATCGCATTTTGTCATCTTCATTTTGAGGGTTTTTCGATTCAATCTTCGATATAGTTGCCTGATTCAAGCATAATGATCTTTGTTTTGTGACTTGTGAGCTCTAAAATCCCAATTTTCTTTGAGAATTGAAATGAATGGGTAATGCGTTTGAAGGGGAAAGGGTTGCCGCACGAACTATTAGGTGCGGACTGCCGCACCCAATAGTTTGTGATGAATAAAACGCACCCTTGTTGGTCCAGGTGTCAAATCGAGTACCCAAATGGAGTTTGGGTTTACCCACAATAGGTCAAAGTGTTTGGGTCGGGTAATGACGGGTCATTTTAACCTAACAGACCAAATCAAATCAGGTTGATTTTATTTACATTAGGGTCAAAGTTGGGTTTGAGTATAGTCAGGTACAAATCGAATTTGGGTCAAGTCAAATTCGGGTCAAGTCATATCGAGTTCATATGAAATCGGATTCGGATTCTATCGGATTTATTTGGGTCAAAACAGATTTATTGGACTTTGCATTAGGTTATTTTGAATTCGATAAGATCTCGGTTCAAATCAATTCAATTTCGGTTAAAATTTGAGTAGGTTCACTTCAATTATTAGCGCATGATTCTCGGTTAGAATTATTTTATTTTCGATTTTTTGGTCGTGTAATATGAATTGGGGTCAATCTCAGTTTGACTCATTTTAGTTTTAACTATATTAGCATATATGTGATGTCATTTTTGTTATTGGAGATTTCAATTCATATTTACTCTGTATCATTTTTTTGGGTTTCATTTAAGTTTTGCATTGGCTTTTCAGAATTGATTTACTGTAAGATACAACTCAAGTCATTAAAGAAAATGATTACTTATCACCTTATTGGGCGTTTACCTCATCATTGTAAAACGACTTTTGTCTTACCATTTTGCATTTATTGTCTTTCTGGCTATTTACCATCATCAATGCATTAGCAACTCATCGATTATGGTCATGGAAAATTTTGGCTTAGGTTATTGTTAATGGAGTGGGTTTAATTATAGTTTCGAGTCGATTTTAATCGGTTCATGGGAAGTTTCAAGTCGGGTAAATAAAGGTCAGGTATAAAGAGATATTTTTCGTGTCTAACTAGTTTCGTGTAGTTTTTGGATCGGGTCAAATCGATTTCGGATCTTGGATTATCCGGTCTTATTGGTTTCGAATTAACTATGAGTCGATTTCATGTTGGGTTTGGATCATACATTACCGGTTGAAGTCGGTTTCAAATTAACTTCGGGTTGACTCCAAATTGAATTCGGATAAAAAATCTCAAATCTAACCAGTTCGATTTCAAGTAAATCTTTCAGGTCGGGTAAGTTTTTGACACCACTACTTGTAGGCTTGTAGTTGTTATGACATTTTTGATAGAAATAATAGTTTAACTTATTTGATTTTGCATTTTCAACCATGCGTATTTTTAACTATTAATCATATATAAAATCATAAAAAGTTAAAATTTCTAATAAGATCTCATACTCCAAATTTATTACTCCACATAGAAATCATACAGCCTAGTCAAACCTAAATTATTTGCCCCATGTTTTAAATTTATTACTACATGTTCAACCTTATTTTCAAGGAGTCCTCTCCCAACTGGCAAAGTACGAAAATAATAAACATGAACAACTCTTTAAAGAAGCCCCAATCTTCACATTCAGAACCCTTTTGTTTTTCTATTGATTTCGTTTTTGGGTTCAAGAATACATAATTGAAGTGAAATGTGAAACTCAAGACTCAACAACCAAAATTGCAAGCACAACTATATGGACCCACTTCATGATTCATAATTATCCTGCAAGCTGCTACAAAAATCATTACCACCTAAACGTTCCTTTTACAATTCGGGATCAGTGATTAAGAGGAGAGCACAGCCATAACATCAGATGCCCGAAGCACTATGTAGTCAGAACCATCTTTGCCCTTGAACTCACTTCCTGCATACTTGGAATACATCACTGTGTTTCCTGGTGAAACTGACAATGGTTTTCTGTTTCCCTCCTCATCCAAGGGACCAGATCCGACAGAAATCACCTGTTCCACAAAAAAATTGTAAGCATTATAAGAAAAGGGGGGCATTAACACACCCACCCGGCCACCCCCCAAAGAAAGGAAGACATAAACAAACACAAGTGAGATTGGAGATAATTACAGTGCCAACTGAGGGCTTCTCCTTCGATGCCTCGGTCAACAATAAACCTCCTGCAGTTTTCTCTTCAGCCTCAGCAACCTATAAGTTTAGGCACCGATAATATTTAATAACAGCTTCCATCAAAAGTAGGAGAATTATAAAGAACAAATGCATGCTTCATTCAATTAAATCTCATAAAGATTAGAACAAGATAGAATATTTGCAAACATGTAAATCCAAGGATGGAGTCAAGCTTCCAAATCCCTTTAGATTATCATATAGGCACAGACCAAAACTAATAAACCCATTTTAAGTCTATTTTCTAAATCTTCAGACTATTGATAACATTAGATACTGCACTGTTGAATCCAATTAATTTTCAGGTAACAAATTCACCATCTGATTGTGCCAAAAATAAACACATGCAATTTTCCTGTATTGCTCATACATCTAATCAAATGATTAAAAAAATAACATAACAAAACAAGGCAGGTGATAGTGATAGTGATAGTGATAGTGATAGTGATAGTGATAGTGATAAGATAAGATAATTCACCCAAGGGGAGATTTCACATATAAGTAGCACTTGTATAAAAATTGATAATACGATACTCAAACACTGACCTTAATGAGAACTCTCTCATTCAGAGGCTTAAGATCCTTTATTTCATCTGTCTCAAGAATGCCAATAATGTCGTCTTCCTTCAGTAGCAGATGGTTAGTCCCATTAAACTCCAGCTCAGTCCCTGCGTACTTGGAATATACTACCTGGGTACCGGTCTGCACCAAGTGAAGAGGACAGAAAAACATTTGTCAACCAGCAAACAAAATGTATTAGCACCAAAAAAAACATTTATTAGTCAAATATGAGTAGTTACCTTGACACCAATTTCTACTTTGTTCTTCCCAATAGTCCTGCCCTCTCCAACAGCTACCACTTCGCCAGATTGGGGCTTAGTCACAGCCGTTGAGGGTAGCAATATTCCACCAGAGGTCTTCTCCTCTGCTTCTTTGATCTTGATTAACACTCTATCAGCCAGAGGCTTAATTTCGGTATACTGTTCAATTTGATCAACATAATGAGTAGATGAGTGATTTATCAAATTTAAGTAGAAAACTTGTTTTTCATTAGGCAACAACAATCTTCACAATACTTAAGGACAATTTTTTACATCCAAAAGCTTTATCTGTGTAACTACTAGCCTATGTAGTATCCTAGAACTAAACTTTTACACCAACAGTGCATGATCATTTTTTTTATTAGTATATTTAGAAAGAAAATAATAATCAGCAGTTAAAATTCAACCTCAAATTACATGGAAGCCTTTTCAGTTATGCCAAGAAGGGGGGAACTGGGGAAGTACAAACTTGACAGCAATTAATAAACTAATTCTAGCAAGTATGATTTCACATTATCATTTATAAATATACTCTGTACATAGATTCAGCAAATAATGGTCTAAAAATAGATTTTAGCTAGCAAACACCAACAAAGAATGTTTATAAATTAACAGACAGCAATAACCATTTGTTCAAACATAGAAAACTTTGTGGCTGAGAACATCAATAATGGATGACATAACAAGAATCTCTTTTAACTCCAATTAGTCAACACCAGCTATCAATAGGTCACAAAAAGAGTAGTCAAGGCACCTCTTAATGCAGAGCAGTATATTATACAGCTGATCAAAGATTTACACAGAAAAGACAATGAAAAAAATATGTATCTTATAATTTCACACAAAAACTATTGGCCTATATATTATACCAGAGCACCCAATAATTAGATGACTCTGAAAATTGTCAAGTCGTAGTTGACAAAACATCTACAAACTACAATAATTTAGAGACCTTAATACAACTCTTCAGTAAAAAAGGGAATGACAGGAAGGCTCTCCTCCTAAAACCTCACAATCAAACAGCTCTACTTGGTGAATTACACTTACAGCTCAACGATTTAAACTTCATCATTGTTTCTACCAATCATCAAATTGAATACTTAGTCCCAATAATTCCTTCATCCTATATAAAACACTCAACCGATTCAATACTGCATCATTCCTTGCTAGACAGCGACAAACAGCACATATAATCTACCACACGATTATTAAATCATGCCACAATCACTCCTAGAATCCTTAACAGGTAAATTTCAAATAACAGTCCAGCAATAACAACAGTTCTTGGACGACAAATCACATACAAAACTATTTTATTTTACCTAATAATGAAAACCAGCCAAAATCAAATGAAGCAAAAGTACCTTAGGGGCAACAACAGTAGCAGCTTTAACAACGAGAGGGCGGAAAGACCTCTGGCTAAGTCCTTGTCTTAACGGAACAAAAGCGCCAACTTTAAGTGATGAAGGCCTAAGCCGTTCAAAAGTGGGTAAACTCCTGCTTAAAACAGTTGCTGCTGTAAGTTGAGCTGCTGCCATTTTCCTGCTTCCATAATTCAAAATTAGCAACAAAATCTCATTATTCCACTAACAATAATGAAGAGCAGATACAAAACAATACAATCCACAATTCAATTTTACAAAAAAAAAAAAAAAAAAAAAAAAAAAAACATTTAACCCCATTAGCAATAATGTGCAGATATAATCGAAATTCAGCAAAAACACTCATCCCACTAGCAAAAAATTGAAGAGAATTACTATACTATACTCCGTACTACCCAAAATTCTAAATTTAGCAAATAAAAATGCAAATAAAAATCCCATTAACCCACTAACAAAAATTGGTAGCAAATACTTAGTAATAGAATAATACTACCCACAACATAAAATTGCCTAAAAATCCCATTAACCCATTAGCAAGAATGAGCAGATATAATTGAAATTTAGCTCAAATAATACACATTAGTGAGCATATACTATACAATAATACCCAGAATTCAAAAATAGCTGATAAAAAAAGTCCCCATTTATCAATTAACAAGAACAGAAATTCATGCATATAGACAATAATGCAACAACTTCTTTCAAGAGAAAAACAGATAATCAAATATGCAATTGAAATACAATGAATGATTAATTACCTCTTTAATTGGTGAACAGAGATGTGGAAGAGCGAAGTGAGTGAGTCGAGAAGGAGAGAGAGTGTGAAAGATTAGATGATGGAAGGATAATGAATGAAACCCTAGAAGTTTCAAGGAGATTGTTTGTTTTTATGTTTTAAATTTGGTTAAAGAAGAGAGTTCTAGAATTGTAACGTTGGGTGGGTGGGTTGAATTGTTGATCGTTTGAATAGATGGGTTGAATGGTCTTTTGGATGGGCTTGCATTTCTTGCCCAATTCTCAATTTTGATTGTTTATTTTCTTTTACATACATTGGGCCATTGGGGTATGGTTGTATCACTTGTATGGGTGTATCACACGCATATAGTGAATGAGTCGGGTTTGGATTGGTTATGGATGGATTGGTCACATTGGATTCGTGTAATTTTGGGTCGGATCGGATTGGTTAGAAGTTAGAACCGGTTTCGACTCATGTCATGTTAGGGGATTAATTTCGATTGAGTTTGAGTCGACATCAGTTTAGGACAAATTTGTTTAGGATTTAGGTCAACTTTGGATCGCTTGAGTATTGAGTTCAGATTTCATAACCGGAGTATTTCAAATTCGGGTCAAGTCCGAATCTAGTGTGTCTCAACTTAGGTTGAATTCGATTGGGCGAGAGTATCAATCAATAACATCTAATAACTATTTAAAAGCCACAAGTTGCAAAAATAATGACCTCCTTAGGAATAGTGTGAGGACTATTTTGCCCTCACTTTAAGCCAACAAAAAAGTCCAATTACTTCTTTACCCTTATTTTGTTCTCTCTTCTTCTCTCTCCTCTCACCTTAGCTTTTCTCGATCACTTTCTCTTATTGCAGCTTTCCATTTCTCTTTACCAGTTTTTCCTCTCTTCCACTCCATCCTTCTAATTTCAGCTCCTTTCTGACGCTCTCTCATCCATTGAAGTGTTAGCAAATGATAAGCATTGCCGAAACAATTGCTCAACAACTCCAACAGCTTTATTCTTATCTTGTGTTAGCTTAGTTAATGTATTTATCTTGTTCCTTAATTGTAGGGATTATTATTTTTTATTCTCTTGTACTTATATATATACCTTTGTATATCTTTTGTAATCAATCAAGAAAACATAAATCAATCTTTCTATTCTCTTATTTGGTATCAGATTCCTTATAATCCGAAACCGTTACACTCTTCCGCTGCTTCAATGGCTTCTTCATCCGAAACCTCATATCAATTAGTCAACCCTTCTAACCCCATGATACCTTTCATTGTTATTAATATGCAAAACGTTATTAATGATACCTATTCAAGCAATGTTATAAAATAATGTTACATAATCAGATTCAACCTCATCCTAAAGCCCTTATAAAACCCACTAAATTGAGTCAATTACAAAACAGAAAGTAACACATGGTCCATTTACCTGCACACTATCATTACAAACCTACCTCTTTTGGGCTGTTACCCCAAAATGAATACTATACAAATTATCCAGATTTACTACATATGGTTAATTCAAACTTGTTGCAACTTTGTATGTGTCATGGAGTTAAATCCCTTTACTTTTTTCTCTCATTTTAAAACTTCCAAATAGTATTCAAATTAAGTGTAATGCAATTTTTAAAGTTCACAAATTTATTAACTATAACAAACACGTTAATTTACTTTGATTAACAAAAAAATTCGCGCGCGGCAAAAACAACTAGTAATACTAAATTGCACACAAGGAATGACACGTATCACTTCTTGGTGCTGTTTTTTCCCTCTAAAAATCTCCCTTCCTTTTTTAGCAAAAGTCTTTTATTTTTGATATATTTGTATAATACAACTATAATAATATATTATTCCTAATTATATATATTATCTTTATAATAATTGTATTCCTTTTTACTTCGTGTTCAATTTATTTAAAATAGTTATACAAGATTTTGAGACCTTTTAATTAAGGGAGAATAAGCTATAATTTAGAAGGCTGAAATATGGTGGAGAGTATAAAATAATGGAGCCAAAAATACAATATTATCATTTAAATTACCATTATATAGTTGTACAATAGTGGGGTTCAGTGAAAAAAAAAAAAAAAAAAAAAAACCATTTCTATTCATGGTGTTGATTTAAAATCTTATGAAATAATAATAATTGAGTTAGTTTTCTATTAAATATTTGTAATAATTTTACCAACTTATAACTTTTTTTTTTATCAAAAAATCTATTAACTATTATTAAAACAGGTCATGCTTACATTGATCATTTTGGAGATATGTCAAGCTATCATTAAAAAATTATACAATATATGGTGTCTGCTTTAATTTTTTTTTGTCAAAAAAAATAATTCTATTTAGCTTTTTTTTTTATGTACATTGTATAGGTTTTTTTTTTTTAAAAAAAAAATTAAATTAATTCATTAATATAATGCTATACAACATCTACAATTTATAGTTTTATTGGGAATAACATGCATCATTAATGTAATATAATGTTACTATTTTAAATATTTTTAACACAACTAATCAAAAATAATTTATTTTTTTCAATTGTAGTTTAAATAATTTTTGCCTTATTATTTCATTTTTCTTATATGCATTGCATTTGTTTATTCTATATGAGTTACCTCATTTTTATATTATATCACAAATTAATTATTAAAAAAAAAATTATTACTACCGTGCATCGCACGATAACTAATCTAGTTTGTAAATAAACTTAAGATCGAAAAAAGCCTTATGTTCGAATCAAGGTTTCAATATAAATCAAGTTTGGATTGGATAAGTCTAGGGTCTATGTCAAGTTTGAATATAGAAATTACGAGTTCACCTAGGTTTGCATAGACTTGATTAATAACAAGTTTGATTAAATTAAGTTTGAGTTAAATGTTACGAATAGAAGGATTTGATTTATTAAAAGTGATCGAAAAATAGATAAAAGTGAAATAACAATTTTATTTAAGAACTAAGTTTTTAGAAGAAAAACGGAGTAAGACTTTTATTTCGGATATAGCCAAGGGAGTAATTTTGAGAAATGGTTAGGCCTTTGATCAAATTTATCCTTTTTGCTGCCGATTTCCAAACAATAGTTAGGCTTTTGATCTCATCCTATATTAGAGAAATACAGTAGTTTGTTTTACCTATTCTAAGATTACTCTTATCATACTTGTCAAAAAAGGAAAAAAAAAAGATTAACTGTATCATAGATTTATCTTCTCAAAATCGTACACCTTTGATTATTTTATTTTCACATATGTTCCTCATTGGAAGCTAATGCTTGCATTTATCTATAAATAAATAATACTAAAGTAATTACCGTTGATATCACTATTGCCATGTGTTAGCTTCTTATTAAAAAAAATCCCCTCCAAAATTTTAAATAGCATCTTTTTTCTCCATTTCAAGCTAAATTTAATATTTGGAAAAGGTGAATTAATTATACATTTTCCTAAAAGCTTTTAGGACTAAATTTATTAAATGTCAATTTTCCTATGGAGAAAAAAAAATAAAAAAATTGATGGTTGGTTTTTGTCATTTTTAGCTCAGTATATCTACCAAGAGAGATCATTATTTTTTTACAAAAAAAATTATTTATATTATGTACATAAGAGCAAAAATTTTATAGCTAAAACCGTGCATCGCACGGAACTAACCTATTTTATTAATAAAAAAAAAAACCAAATTTTCCAAGGATTTTCCACAAAGAACATTGTAAAGGGTGATTCAACAACGACATTCATTGTAGTTATTTTGAGTGAAACTCTAATGCGAGTAGAGAATATGTAATCGCTTGTACTCAAGGGTATAGGAAAGCATCGTTAATATAACAAATCGAGAAATTAACGAAAATAAGCTTGATTTTTATGTTAAATAAAAGACAATAACATTTTATAAATATATAACTATCCCGCTAATATCTCTAATAACAATAATGAAAGTAAATATTATGGATCGTACTCATAATTTCTTAAAGAATAACTCATAACTCCTAAAAAATAATTGGCTAAAACTATAATTAACAAACGAGCTCCACGGCAAGTCTCTTGGTTTTGTCTCCACAACTTGAAGCCGCACCAAAAGTCTTCTCAGAGACATCCACTAGACAAAACTCTTTGCCAACGCAAGCCTATCAAAATTAAAAAAAATTTAGAGCTCGCAAAATAAAAATAATAATCATAATAATAATAATAATAATTCGTATTATGAAATGTAACGTGAAAAATATTTGTACCTTAGTAAGGATGCTCTTAGCATCATTGGCACTTTCGCAAGAACCTTTCTGAAAAGAGCCACAAATTCCTTGAGGTGCACCAAAACTAGCGAATTTTATACCAGAAATTGCCCTGCCTTCACACGACAACGCTAGTAAATTTCCCTCGTATGCATTCGCGCAAGCTCCTCCTGCACGGACGGTTTTGAAGTTAACTCGTGTTGGGTTCCCTCCGAGTTCCTCGAATAGAACAAGGGTGTTCACGTCACCCCTTAGGAAAGACCGTGGTACATGGTACCTACATGTATGCAATAAAACAATTATTATAGAGCTCGACATAATGAACGTATGTACATAAGAGGTATACAAGTTAAAAAGACATGAATTTACTCTGTTTGGATGGGTTTCCCGCAATTGGTGAGGCACTTGTTGTTATCATATTGGCCGCGGTAGTCACAAGGTTCGAGCGTACAACCGTCATTATCCGATACATAACTAGGCCAATACCTTCCAATGCTCAATCCGTTCACCCAAGCGGCTCCCTTGCCCATGCCGCTTAAGTCCACCACAACGGGGTCTGTTCCCAATGGTGGCTTGAACGTTGTCTAATTAAAACATGATCATCGATCACAATTAGTTATAATGTCACATGACAAACTACCTAATGTAACAATAATTAGAATAAATAAGAACTATAATTTATTAAGTTACGCGTGTTATTACCTTGTACCATATCATTCGAGTGTTAATGGGCATGCCATGGCTACTCCTCCACTTATTGACATAGAGCGATTTTTCACTGTAGAGATGATCATTATCGAGGCCTTGCAAACCAGTATGGTACGTCCAAGCATGATTAGATAAGTCCTTGAGCACAGCCCCTTGCTTTCCGACTAACTTCACTGGACCGGTTATTCCAACTGGTGTCAAGTCGTAAAATGAACCATAGTTCTACAAGCAAAAGATTTACAACTTTAGGTTTAATTTACATGTAAGTAGCTATATATATTTGCAATTTTGTACGCGAAAATGTGTACTATACCTTAAGTCCAACTGTGGCGCTAAGGAGTGCAATTATGTTCTTCCCACTTCTCAATTTGACCTTCTTCTCAAAAGTGTAGACGTAGGCAGAAGTGTTAACATATTCGTATCCTACACGAAAATTAAAAATAATTAAAGTATATTACATAGTTAAATCGGCTAAAAATCAAAAAATCAAGTGAATATAATCATGTAACGAAATTAGTATCAATTTTTACCAAGTTCGTGGCCATTAACATAAACATGTAGAACATGGGCGCTTGAATTGATATTAAGCTTCACATCGTCATTGTTCAAAAGTGCATCATTTTTCTCAAGGTGGAAACTAAGAATCACAATTCGAACCACAAAATCATATATTAGTTCCAATATATATCGATTGATTTAGATAATATCACGATGAAATTTAACTTTTGTACAATACTTACGTCGTAATGTACCACAAGTAGTCACTGGAGTCGTTAGTAACCGCCTTTTGTTCAAGGAGAACATCCCTGGCAAAGTCACCTTTACCGCCTTTGGCAAACTTACCAATTCTTTCATGCGTCCAACTCCAAGTAAGAGCACTTGGTTCTTTTTCAGCTCCATTAGGTATCTTCGCCACGATGTTAGTTTGTGTATTCACCTATAATCAATCAAATTGATGTTAACTAAATTGACCTAATACTTTGAAAATTCGCGATATATGTGAATGTGCACGTAAGTAAAGTCTCACCTTAGCAGTATTGTACACTTCATTCTTGCAATCGGGAAGGATACTAACGGACCAAGCAGGAATGGTAAAGTTTTTGCCGTTGTATGTTATTGTTGCATCATTGGATGTGTTATCGTTGTTAATAAAACAACTCCAGATCACTCTAGTCTTGTAAGTTGTCACCTAAACATATTAAATTACAATATGATTAAATGTATATATGTGTAATTTCTAATGCAATTTATTATTATCACAAATTAAACAAATTAGTAAAACTTTAAGTTTAATTATTTGTGTACCGTAACATTGTTGCCCAAATCAGTTTTGGTAATATCTCCATAAGTGAGAACTTTTTCAATTGAGTGCAACACTGCATGAAGTTCCTTGAGATGGCCCCACTTAGGTTGATTCAAATTTCCTACATTATACATCATACAAACACATAAATTTGTTAATTGTTCAATTGATTTCTTAGAATTACTAGACATGTATTATATGTTGTTGATGGTTTAACATTAGATACCGTATTCATCGAGGGGTGCATCATAGTCGTAGCTCGTAGTAATATACGGACCACCGGTAGTTCTTCCAAAGTTTGTTCCACCATGGTACTAAATTTAAAATCACAAGTTAGCTACATACGTTAACAATTCATTAAATTTTTGAGTACGTACGAATTTTCGAGAACTGTGTTTACCATATAATAATTTTGTACAGTGCCTCCTGTTTGGAAGAAGCGTGCAACTGCATAAGCAACGTCTTCAGCAGTCCTGTGTGGAAGTTTACCTCCCCAATTTTTGAACCTAAAAATTCATTTAATTAATACATACATGTTATAAATTAACCATATTTTTGAACAAATTTTTAGTATAGTATATAACAAATTATGTAATCAACTAACCAGCCGGTCCAATTTTCGGTCCATATCTTGGGACTGTTGGGATTGTTTGGAGTGAAATCGTGACAATACCATCCATTGCAAGTATTAATCTGATTTTAGAGAAATAAATGTAATGTAATTATGAGATTAGATGCTAATCATACAATTAAATTGGAAGTAACAAATTTGTTGATTTGCTAAGATTTTATATGTACCATTGGTTGGGGTGCATCACTTTGTTGGCACATAATCCATGGGACTCCAACGTTTTGAGCTACGGCCATCTTTGCACACCAATTGATGTATCTTTTTCCGGCATCTCCATAAGGATCCATAACATTGCCATATTCGTTCTCAATCTATCGTCATTAGAAGAGAAATAAAACAATTCTTTAGCATATACTCCGTACAATTTACAAATTCTTATATTAGATGGTCTAACAAGGTATTGAGATCATGTTTTATTCTCTTAAATAAATTTGGGTTAGTCCATAGATAAACAAACCTGGGTTAGGATAATCGGGCCACCTTCAGGGGCTAAAAGGTTCTCCTTTTTCACCATATCAACTATCAATGTTGTGAAATTTTGCATTTCATCCTGTACAAATTATGATAATTTTAGCCAAACAAAAGAAGATTTGTATGTCTAAAAAAGAATATGATAAATTGGCTAATCAATGTTTACCATAAACACTTTGTTATCAGTTCGAAGCTGGATCCCAGGCAAGTTGTGCAACCATACGGGAAACCCTCTATTCAAAACAAGACATGTAACATGTATTAAAGTTGCAATATAAATTATTCACATATTCTCATAGTCTAGATTTAGTTATCGCATTACTATTTCTATTAGCAAAATCAATGTCTATATATGCTATTATATACAGCTTATGTGTTTACCCGTAATTCCATTCAGCACAAGCGTATGGACCAATACGAAGAATAGCATATAGTCCAGCATCTTTAATGGTCTTTAGAAACCTTATAAGGTCGTTTCTGCCAGTGAAATCGTACTGCCTTCGAACTGGTTCATGTGCGTTCCAAAACACGTATGTTTCGATGGCATCGAGACCTCCCTCTTTCGATTTTCTGATTAAATCCGGCCACATCTATCCCAAAAAAAAAAAAAAAAAAAAAATTCAGTAATAAAATCATAATAAGATAGCTTTATCAAAAACAATAATTGTATATATCTCCCTCCCTATATCAAAAATTAATTGTCACGTTGATAGTGTAACAATTATGTACCTCAGGAGTACTTCGAGGATAATGGATGGAACCCGAGAGTATGATCCTACGCTCTCCATTGATGAGAAGAGCGCGACCATCATGAGAAACAACCGTACCTAATGCTGAATGTGTAACACTAAAAATCGTGACAATTGCTAAGAGAAGAGAAATCGTATGAATTTTCATCTTTTTCTTTGATAAGAAAACACACGTACAATTGATGTTTGAAAGATGAAGATTGAGAAATTTTGAGTTAATATTTATAGGCAATTAGATATCTTACGAATTTTTTTTTATATAAATATTATCCTTAATATCTATCCACTTTTATTAGCATATAAACCTGGATAATTTCTATCCTCTAATTTGGTGATTATTACCTAATCTATAATCTATAATCTATAATTTCTATCTAGGTTATTATTCTCTATATTAAACGTTTCTTTTGCTAGATAAACTAATTAAAGGCTAAAGTTTTGAAATAAAGGGTAGTATATTATATATCTCTTCGTGTGTATTTATTTAATTATAATTTGGTTTATTGTAAAAAAAAAATTATAATTTGGTCTTTTAATCTTTTAATTAATGGCTTTTTTTTTTATCCTAATATAATTAATAAAAAAATTCCTTTAGTAGATAAATTTATAATTTATTTTTAATGGATAAAGTTAAAAACATGTTTGCAAGTTAGGAATTTAAAGTTAATTTAAAATTTTAATTTTAATTTTAAAATATGTGATACAAACAAATCAAAAGATGACTCTTCATCATCAATCAACCAAAAGATTTTTTTTAAAAAAAATAAAATAAAATTCTCTCTTAAATTAATTTCTCAAAGTCCCTATTAGTCTATCTTTTGGGTCTTTGAGAGGGTTGCATATCAAGAATACGACTCGTAATCGTATTAGAACTGTGTTAGTTTTCTACGGAGTATTTACTACTCGTATTGTACTAAGTATGAGTTCATGTTTAGTTAGGAAATTAAACGTCTTAGAGATATAAAATTTTCAAGGCTATACGACTCTCCTAGTGTGCACTTCGTATATCATTAGGACTTTATACAATTATCCATAAGTGTCAATGCATGTTTGTTCAAGTTGAGGGCCTGTTAATTATTATTATTATTATTATTATTATTATTATTATTATTATTTTGAAGGGTCTGTTAATTATGTTAATTTTATTTTTATGTTTAATTGATTGAATTTTTCTTTTGAGTATTTTTAAATTTTGGCCCATTCTAAAAGTTCTAAAATTTTGAGAAAAATTGAGATAACTAATTTTCAAATTATATCATAGATAGTGGTTTATTGTTAACTAGAATACATAGACTTACATTAAAATAGTGATTTGTTATAATACCTTAAGGGGTTATTTGGTTGGGGTTATTCAACAAAGGAAATGGGAATTGACAGGAATCATTCCCGTTGTTGTTGTTTGTTAGGCCACTTTTCCAATTCCCTTTACCCCCTTCATTCCCCCAAATCCCTCCAAGTTCATTCCCCACCCCAAGGTATTTCCATTCCATTCCTTTGCCACTTCCATACCACCACCCTCCTGCCTACCCACATCACCGAAACCACCATCACCGTCGTCACCGTCGTCGCCGCCCTCCCCTTCCCAAACCACCATCACCGAAACCTCATTCCCCTCCCCTCAAACCACCAATGACTCATCACCGGAAACAGCTCCCCTCCCCAAACCCCCTGGCTACCTTCATCACCGTCGTCGTCGCCCTCCCCTCCCCCAAACCATCACCGAAACCTCATTCCCCTCCCCTCAAACCACCAACAAATCTGAACGTTGGAGTAATGGGATTGATACGTCGTCGGAGTTAGGGTTTTTTACGTGGTGGGTAGGAGTCGGAGAAGGGAGAGGGAGCGGCAAGGAGGCCGGGGTTGGTGTCGCCGGCGCTGGGGAGGGGCCTGGGGTGCTGGAAGGGGGTCGCCGGAGGCCCGGGAGTGAGGAAAATTTTAATGAAAGAGATCAACAGTGGTGGTGGTGAATCTAGTGATCCCCATTGTTTTTTTACCATCAGATTAATAGATTGTAAATACATATACTCTATATATTATGGTGTCAATAACTTGTTGATTTTTACTTTTTAAATTAATATGCTTTCAAATAAAAAACAAAAGCAAGATTCAGAATTCAAATTTCTGATGTCAGGATCATCATCATCATCAAATTCTGGGGTTGTAGTATCAGATCTACCATGTAGCATATTGATCAACATCTTGGGAAGATTACCCTTAAAAACGGTAATTGATTGCAGGTATGTCTGCAAATCATGGCGATCTTTAATCTCGGATTCTTATTTCTGCAAAGTATATTCTCATCATATGCCAACAACTTTGTTCCTTCGAGTTAAGGAACGTCATCTTTGCTGCAAAAAAAAAAAAAAAAAATCTGTAATCGATCGGCAAAGTTGTGGCATTGTTAAGATGCGGTTTACAACGAATTATCGTAATCATGTGGTTGATCTTCGCAATTTGAACATTCAACTTGGAAACGGGTGTAATGGGTTGATCTGTTTGAGGGGGGTGAATACTCAGAAGCCGAGTTTGGTTTGGAATCCGATTATGCGTCAGGTTGTTATAGTCCCGAAACCCGCCACCACGGTTGATGATAAAAAAAAGGTGGTGGCGGGTTTCGGGCACTGCGGGCGTACCAATCGGTACAAAGTGTTCCGCATCTTTCACAAGAAAAGAGACCCGCCGTCTCGACAGCGGGTCGAGATTTATGATCTTGTAGTGGGAATAAATGGAGAGAAATTGGGGATGCCCCATTTCCTATCCCCTCAACAATTCCTGGCTTTTTCATCAATAATACACTTCATTGGAATTTGGACAAAAATGATCAGCAAAATGATTATGCTGACAATAATAATAGTATAAATGATGATCAAAATAATATGAGCTCTAATTTTGAGCTAACTTGTGGATTTGACTTTGTAGAGGAGAATTTCAAGGCGATTAAAGCACCACCAATATTTTCATTACACAAGAAAAACAATTACCATTGGTCAAATTTGGGGGTAATAGGTAACTGTCTTTCAATATGTGCGATTGATGCTAAGGCATTCAGGCCGGATATCCAAGTTTGGGTGATGGAGGAATACGGCGTGCCGGAATCATGGGCACTAAGGCTCTCCATTCGGGACCCTATCATCGAATGGTGGAACCCGTACCAGTGTATTCAAGTGATCAATATTCTCGACAATGAGGAGATACTAATGTTGTGCGCACATCACTTTGTGCTAGCCTATAATCTCCGGGAAAGGCGGTTTCGGAAGGTGGCGAGTTTCGACTTCCCGGTCATTGCTCATGTGCCTAGCTTTGTCTCCTTGGAGGATGTCTTGAGGGAGCACCCATGGGGCTAGAATGCTAGATCATTGAATTGAATGTGAGATATTTTTAGGGAAAAAATAGCTCTACCTTTGTTTTTAACAAGTTATCGGCCTAGGCAAAGCCGAAATCATTATAAATTTGTAAGTTTGATCGGAATTAAATTTAAAAAGTTAATGTTCAACAATGTTTATGATAATATTTTTGTAAAATTTTGCATCAGTATATATAAGATGAACCAAATGTATATTATTTTGAATGAAGTGTCAAAAACTAACTTGATCATATCTGACTCGAAAAAACCGATTCAAATTTCGACTTGCACAAACACAATAATTTAGCATCACTTAACTTTGAAATACACCTAACCTAACCTCATTGAACTCGACCCGAATACCCAAATTGACACCTCTAATCTTGATATAATTGTTGCTTTAGATTTATTAGATTACATTCGTTCAAAAAAATAACACTCCAAAAGCAGTAGTGGGTTTGGGTGGAAACCTTAAAAGGAGAAAGATATAGTATTAAAGCGTAGCACCGCAGGTCAACACTTGAGAATAGAGGAGGGAGGTAAGGGAATCCCCCTACTCCCAAACAATTGTAGTTGATGGGATTTGAACGTGTGACCTCAAAGTCACAATGTGAGTTCTCCGCCAACTCATCATCTTGGCCCGACATGATTTGGGCATAATCTTTCACCTAATTAAGTTTGGGGTTATTAATTAATTTGTGCTTGCATTATTTTTAAGCCGAATATTTTTTTTTTTTTTTTTTTTTTTTTTTTTTTTTTTTTTTTTTTTGTGTGTGTGTCTTTATTTAATCTTAGCCTCAAAATTCTCAAACCAGCCCGCCCAACCAACCTACAATAGTTGAATTGGGTAAATATTTTGGGCATGAAGGGTCCAAGATCTTTAGAAAAAAGCCCAAACAATGATGAAAAACAATACTATGCTTTGTTATTCCAACTATCGTGTATCTCGGCAATATCCCAATTTGTTACTTTTTGTGATTAGCAAAATTGGACGTTATGACAGTAATAAGTAATTGCCATATTTGTAATCATTTTAATATTTAGGATGAAAATAATTGCCAAAATATAAAATTTGATTCAAAATTGACACCCTTACACTATTTTGGGATCAAAAGTTATGACAAAAACAAAAGCCGCAAAAAAAAAAAAAAAAACTGGAAAGGAAACGCTTGGAATTTTTGGGAGAAATGCCTGTAATTTTTGTTTTTTCCCTGGAATTTTCGAAATTCCAAATGTTTTCCCTTGGGTTTACAAAAACTAGGGCTGGCAAACAGGTCGGGTCGGGTCGGGTTCAGGTCGACCTGTTTACATAAACGGGTCAGGACCCCCCAACCTGAACCCGACCTGTTTACTTAAACAGGTCAAAAAAACCAACCTGAACCCGACCTGATTATAAACGGGTCGACCTGAACCCGACCCGCCTAAACCTGATTTTTTTTTAATTAAAAAAAAATAAAATAAAAACCTGTAATTTACTAATTTCTTTATACTGTAATTTTTTTAACCTGTAATTTGACTAATTTCTTTAACCTGTAAGATTCAAGTATTCAAGACTTCAAATTCAACACATAATTCAAGCAAACATAACTTAACAACATAATTCAAGAGTTACATGTCCAAAATACTTCCAAGTAGGCAAATAAAAGTTCAACTAGAAAACCAAATACATGTCCAAAATAACAGTAACAGTTTCATCAACTAATTTTAGAAGAAATTAACAACATAATCAGGTTTGACTCTCCATGACAGCAGGACTTTCTGGTGCACTTTGTGGAGGGCTGGGGCTGGGAGTATCCCCCACATCATCGTTGACTTTCATGGCCATGATT